ATCTAACAAGCAAGATTTTTTTTTAAGTCTTAACGTTTTGCTGAATTTAAGTAGATTGATCAAAGTTATCTCATATATTCAGAAAGGAAAATCAAATGTGGGGGGTCTTAGTGTATTTTTTTTTTCTAGATATTACTAAAAATATGTTGTTTTAAGTTAAAAATGAACTTCAATATGATGCATAATTTTGGAAATAAAGCTCCAGGCTAAGATCTGAAATAGTCTGCCTCTTCATCAAATCTCAGGTTCGAACACCCTTAATGGAGTTCGGACATTAAGAATCTATAAGTTTGGCTTAATGGTGGCTTAATGGTGATTTAAAGATTGTCTAGAAGCTACCATTAAACATCTATAAATCACCATTTATCCACTATTAAGCGACCTTTAAGCAACCATTAAGGACTTTGAGGTGACTTAATGGTAACTTAAAGGGCGTGTATTCATTACATAAGATAGTTCAAAGGTGCTTAATGGTAACATAAAGACAACCATTAAGCCATCATTAGGTACCTATGAGCAACCATTAACCAAAGCTTACAGAAAATATTTCATCTTCTGACCCGAATAAAGTATTTTCTCCACCCTGCTGAAAATGACATTTCATAAAGAATCATGGTGACATATTTATTCTGTTGTCCACACAAAATATTGCATCAACATATATTGCTGGTTTTGTGGAGATACACCGATTAATATATCGTCTAGTCAAAAAAAAAAAAAAAACTTTCACATTTTGTTTTGATAGCTATCTCAAAATGACGAGATAATTTATTCTGTGTTATGACTGAATTATTCTGCTTCTTCATAAATACAAGCACAATAAATGTTTAATACATGTACATCCTATAAACAGATGACGTTCTGGAATGGGGTGAGGGGGCCTCGGTCATTTTTGCTGTAACGTACAAGTTAATTTGATAGTTAACAATTTCTTGAACGAGGCAAGCGTTTGATAAACAAAGTGATGAAACTAAGACACCAACAGTCTAAGTTATAGCAACCATTTGCAAGTTTTATTGTATATACAATGACTTTGTCAGCAAATTCAATCTATTATGAAGTTGAGTGCTGATTTTCGTTTTTCATATCTAATTGTTAGGCCATTTTTTCATCGAATTGACTATGAATATTCTGTATGCCAGATCTCATTTCATATCATCGTAGTGCAATCCGATGAAGTACGTTTACTTTTGTAACATTTCAGTTTTGATTTCACAAATGCATGCACTATATCTGATGAAAATAGTTACAAGACATGTTTTTTTAACTTCATACTTCTTACAATTTTCTGCTTCTCAAGCAACTGGAATTTCTAAAACAGTTTTCTATTATTTTTTTTTTTAATCTTCATCATTTAATACCAAATAATTATAAGTAACCTTATATCGCACGTTTTTGAGAAGCATTGCATAAATAACTGTAATATTATGTATGAATGAAGAAAAAAGTTCTTGTATGAACAGTTGGGAACATGTAGAAAAGCACTAAACTTCCGTTTGAATCTGGAATCTCTATAGCTAAATATGGAAATTGAAAAATACCTTCAAAAAAAAAATGAGAAAAAAGAAAGAAAAAATATTTTAAAAATATACACAAATCACTGAATATCAACATTTATAATTATCTAAATTAAATGCATGAAATGCATTTAACCAGATGACTTTTTCAAAATACATTATTATATAAAAAAAGAGGGGTAAATTAAAGAAAATAAAATGCTAATTATTCATAACGAAGATTACAATAAAACACTAATTTCTGTGAATAAATTAACTTTAAATACATTACATTTATAAATACTTTATAAATGGTTATTATTCTAAAAGATTGATAATTTATATATTTTATCTATATTTTCTTTCATAAAGTATATCAGATAAATAATTTCGCTGTAATTCATCTTAGAACAAAGATACTTTTTATGCGTCTGTAATAAAAGATTCGGGAATCTATAGTTTTTTCACTGTCCGTCTGTTTATCTGATTGTTTATCTGTCTGTTCATTATCATGATACATGTACCTTTTTTTGAGTATGAAAATATTTGGACCTCTTGACCTTGACCTTGAAAATATCAAAATTTAACCTTAGCCATAGTTTTTGCTTAGTTTGGTTAGGGCTTTCATACTTCACCTGTGTATTTTTTGTCACATGACCTTGACTGTTTGACTTTGACCTTAGACTTTGACTCATTCAGAAAAAAAACCCTTTTTGAATAATTAGAGCTGGGTCTTTAATAATTCATATGTGTATTCTTTGTCATAAGACCTTCCTTTGGAAACTAGACCCTTTGACCATAGAGTGTGACCTGTGTATGAAAAGCAATAACCTTGTCTATAACTTCTTAACTTTTGGAGCTTGGGCTTTCATATTTTATAAGTTTATTTGCTGAGACAAGTCCTTTCCTTGGGCAACAACTTTTTTGATTTGTTACTCTTGGAGTTTAACTTGCATTTCAGAAACCTTATCCTTCGCCATAGGCTCCCATACGCCATAGGCTACCATTCGCTTCACAAACACCTTTATCAATCCTCTTTTATAATTAAGCAAATTCACACATATGCCTACTTACCCAGGGGGTGAAAAATAGGGACAGTGCATAGTAAATAGTTCAGCATAGTAATGACTGCATTTTTTTTATTTCCTATTTGATAGCAGGAAAAAAGGTGGGGTATATAAAAAAGAAGATTCTCTAATAGATGACCAATATTTTTATGATCCTCCTTTGACATTTCTTCTATTTTTTAATCTTGGCTTTTTATTAGCAAATGTGAAACATAAAATCATGTTTCTACAATTCAGTTTGGCAGCATATCTTCATTTTTTCAATCAATTCAATCACATAGTTTGACAAAAGAAATTCTGAAGTTGATTTTTTTTTTACATAATATTTTTTTCAGTTAAAAAAAGACATTTAAGGGAGCCGACTGGGGTTTTATTGTGTGAAAACTACTATAGAGAAACTCTTTAATTTTATACAATATGTACCTTACATTGACTTCAGTACACATGCCAAGTTTAGTGAAAATCTACCATCTGGTTATATTCTAGGGACCATCTCAAAATACAGGTGCATTTACTATAGGATTATATAGGAAAATACCATTTTTACTTCGGAGCAAATTATACAAATGCTACTATAGACTTTTTGCTCGAATTATATTATTTGATAGGTAATACTATATTGTACATTTTATGCAAGAAACACAAAATTCTACCGTCTGGTTTCCAGAGGGGACATCTCAAAATGTCAAAATTCATGATATTTTCCTGTTTTTATGGAGTACAACAAAACATGACAGATACCACAGATTTACATAAAAAATAATCAAAATGATTGTGAGATTCTCAATTTCCTATATTTAAAATTTCAAGAGCCTGTATTTTATACTTTTTATTTTATGGCATAATTAATGACCCCGCTTAAAGAACTTCAGTTATTCATTACGTCAAAAACACACTATTACGACGTCTATCTACCCATCATTTGAAAAATCGTTAAAAAAATCGGTTATTTAAAAACGTAATTAGATTTTTTATCCTAAGATTTCCTAAAATTGTTAATTTTTTATAAATTATGTAAAAATAGTTGCTTTAAAATAGTAAATACGCTTTATTTTACTATGCTGCGCGAAGTATTGCGCAATGAAAACCCCAGTCGGCCCCCTTAAGTCTTTGTAACAGTATTTAATTAAAGTAGGGCACTCTTTTTGCCAACGCATATCAATTTTAGGGCATTTCAGAAAAATGCAACCATTTAAGTTGATTACATTTGACTGGTGTTTCAACAAATACCATGCACCAACAAGTTAGAAGTCAAAATGTCAAAATTTATTCTTATGAAAATAAAGTTAATCTGGCAAATAAATAATGAATTGCAAAAGGAAAAAGAAGCTTGTAAAAATCCCATTAGTTACAAAATATATTCTAAATATCGTCATTTTTGCTGAATGAATAAATCTATCTGATGCAAGGAATTGTTAATAACTAGAGCGAAGAGTCTCTTGGTAATGAATCAGGTTTCATTTTTCGAACCATTTTGAATGCATTAGTTGTTTTCGGGTATGTTTTATAAACTTAGACAATTATTCCCTAAGATGAAGTCAAGGGGTGTAAGTCAGGTGAGTGCTGGGGCCAAATTCAATGGATTTGAAAGAGTTGAAATGTCCTCCAAACATATGTTCTAACCAGTCCAAGGTTTAAGATTCAAAATAGCATCCGATATACACTTGACTTGCTCAATTTTGAGTCGCATTTGTTCACAAGCTCAGTTATTTTTCAAAAGGATTTCATGTGAGTCTCTAGAACAATGCTCTTTAGTTACATTCTAAATGTTTTCATTTGTTTTAATTGTCTTTTTCTTTCAATTTTTCCTTTTTTTTTTTTTTTTTTTTTTTTGATCATTTACTATTCTCTTAGCTTAGAAATTATACAGATTTATACAACTTCCACTTTGTATTACTAAGTAAGTTTTTTGCATGCTGTAAACATTATTTTCATTGTCCTAATCACAGAGACTGGTGGCATGCTTTGATAAAGTAGTTTCGGAACTTCTGATGATTGCTTCTTATTAAACCCCACATTAAGAATGAAATTATCTTTTTTTTTATCAGTGATGTTAAATATGACATCATCATTAATTCAAATGATAATTATTTCTTAATTTTTTGTTATTAGTAAAAACTTTAAGCCTTTTAGCATAATTTTATATGGAACTTTCACAAGTTTCTGTTTGCATATGAATAAAGTGAGAAAAGTAAATGGTTGCATGTTTTCTGAAACACCCTGTATACGGTTTGCAATTTTTTTTTGTGGCGAAAAATGTATCTAATGACTTACGTTCAACAGATTCTGATTATTATATTCTATTTATAACAACTGTGGGAAAATGATTTAAATCATATTTTTTTAATGTAGAAATTGAATCTTATTATTTAACAAGAGGTGATAATGTAGTAAAGAACTACTAAGAACAGGAAAATTGTCACTTTTTTCAGAACATTTCCAGATGCTGTGATATTCAAACCCAAGCATGGGGTATCTGAAGCATTCCCAAATTCTTTTTCTATGCCTGCTTATAACTTTCGTAAGTTTTATTTACTTAGCTTTGTTAAAATTATTAGATTGTAAAATGTAATGGAAAACTTTTTTTTTAACTCATGACTTAACTTCAAAGCATATTGTTAAAATCTTGTAGCTCACTTTCTTGGCTGCTCAGCGCTGTCCTTTGTCCGCCAGAACAGAACAAATTGTAAAGAAATGTCCAGAAAATGAAGAAGCTACAAATACTAGTGCAGAGATAAAAAAAATGTGAAAGGCTTGCAGAACAGCAGACTTGTACAAGTCCATCAAAGTTCAAGTATCATTGCCTTCCTACTGATCTGTCAGGAACACTAGTTGAAGTATGTGCCGTTGAAATATACATCCATGGTGAGTAAAATTATGAATACTAGATAGAAAAAGATACAAAAAACATGATTTAGTGATTTCATTTGTAACCAGTTTATACATGAATGCTACGTGAAAAAATATATATGCTAGTTTTTTGGTCACCTAGTCACTTAGGTGACCTATTGCTATCTGTTTTTGTCCGTCGTCGTCCGTCGTTCTTCGTGTGTTAACATTTGAACATTTTCAGGTTCTGAAACCTTATCCTTCGCCATAGGCTCCCATACGCCATAGGATGAACCAATTTCAGGCAATTTTAGCATATGGCATCTATTTGTGAAGGGAAACAAAGTTTGGGGGCTGAGGGGTGGGGCTGAAACCACCAAAATTAATGCCATCTTTAAAATTTTCATCTTTACTCCTGGACATCAAACAGTCGCACTGTTGGCATGATTGTAATAAGCAATGAGCCCTCTACCAAACTTGTGAAATTCATGGCCCCAGGGTAAGGGGTTTTGGTGCTAGGGCGGGGCTATATAGTTCATATAGTGAAAGTGCATTATTTCTTTGAAAAATTTTCTTCTCTACTCTTAGGTATTATTGAAACAATTGAAATACATAGTTGTCATTAGCAAGAGCGACTCTATCAAAATTGTGAAATTCATAGCCCCATGGTTTTGCTGCTGGGGTGGGGCTATATTAGTAGATAATACAGTAAAAGTGCATTATTTCTTTGAAAATCTTCTTCTCTATTCCTGGGTATTATTTAAACAATTTAAATACATAGTTATGATAAGAAAGGATGCCTCTTCCAAAGTTGTGAATTCAATGGCCCCTGGATCAGGGGTTCTGGTTTTAGGACGGGCTCTACTTATTAAATAGTGAAAATGCATTAATTCTTTAAAAATCTTCTTCTCTTCTCTTTTCTTCTCTGCTTCTGGGTATTATTTAAACAAACTAAGTACATTGTTATGATACGCAAGGATGTCTTTTCCAAAATTGTGAAATTCATGACCCCAGGGACAGTGGCTCTGTTGCTGAGGGGGTGGGGGGTGGGGGGCTATATAGATCCTATAGTGAAGGTGAATTATTTATTTGACAAGGTTCTTCTCTGCCCCTGGGTATTATTTAAACAAACTAAGTACATTATTATGCTCTGATGAAAAGGGAATGGGGTTACTCTATTGATTATATAGTGAAGATGCAAGATTTCTTTCAAAATATCCTTTTCTGCTTCTGGTTAAAAAAGCAAAGAAGTTAAGTGTATGGTTATGATGAGCAAGAGTCTTTCTTCCATAGTATTGAATTGCATGACCCTTGGGGCAGATATGCTGGTGTAACGGTGGGCAACTTGATAATATAGTGAAAATGCATTAATTCTATTAAATAATCCTGTCTGCTGTCAGAGACAAAAAGAGAAAAAGTTTTCATAAGGAAGGGCATTTTTACCAGATTTTTGAACATCTGGACCATTTGGTCAAGTGTTCTGGTCCTGGCCAGGGCTCTGTTACTTTGTATTATTAGAGTTACTCCCCTTTGCCATTTAGTTTTGATAATTGATCACTGTAAATAATGTATTTGAAAGGTTAATAGAACAAGCATTCTGAGAATATTGCATTAGCAATACTAGTCCCCTACCGGCAAGTGTAATCTGGTTCCCGTTAAGAATTAAAAATGCCATAACTCTGTCAGAAATTAATGAACCGGGACGAAATGCAAACTTGATCTATAACTAATCAAGGTAAAGCCACATACCAAAAATCAGCTCAATATCTACAAGCGTTTAGAAGAAAATTGCGGAAAACCCTTAAAAATTGAAAAGGCCGTAATTCCGTCAAAAATCAATGAAGCGGAAAGAATGATCTGTAACTCATCAAGATACACTCACATACCAAAAATCAGCTCAATATCTGCAAGCGTTTAAGAAAAAAGTGCGGAAAACCAAGTGGGACAGACAGACAGACAGACAGACAGACGGACAGACAGACGGACGGACAGACTCAGAGGAAACCTATAGTCCCCTCCGGTTTCACCGGTAGGGGACTAATAGGAGAATTATGCAAGAATTTCTATTGTATAATACAAAAAGTACTTTCATATTATTGAGGATTAGGTAGACTTGTAAGTAATAGATAAAGAAAAATTAGATAAAAATAACTTGTCTTATTAAATGTTCATTAAAGGCCAAGAGAGGCCAATGTAAGAGTTTTGAAGAAGGAATTAAAATAGAACAGAAAAACTGATAAATTGTTAATATACTGTATGGTGATAGTGATAAATGGGGAATAGATTAGAACCTAATTCATGAACTGTTAATGGATACTAGACTGATTATTTTGTTGATCCCGATCTCCCTATTTTTCTTGCTTTTAGGCAACAAAGGTTCACCTTTCAGTTCATTTTATACTCTATGGATCCTCTAAATTGTTGTATTATACTCAGGTGACCGTTAATGCCCTTGGGCTCTTGTTTATTATGAAATGGTTTACCTAACTTTTATTATTACATGTAAGATCTATGTATTACACTAAGGATTGTTAAAATGTAGAAAATAACAAAAATTTAAATTGCCACATTTTGAGATGATTTATCTAACTTGTGTCAGTATGTTCTAGATATTACACTTAGGATTGACAAGTCATGTAGAGATTAACACAAAGTGTCATAATATAGGACATCAAACTCATCCAGAGAACAAAATAATTGGAAAAAAATTCCTGAGCATTGATATTCTCAATTTTTACACGTTTTTGTCTTCTTTTAAAGACTATAACAAAGATCTGAAAAGTAAATTATCAGAAAAAAAAATCATTGATTTGAATTTTCAATGAATCCAAGCCAAAAAAACGAGATATACTTATCGCTTTCATAACTGAAGTATTAAAATACCTTTGCATAGAAAAAAATAGATATCAAAAAAATGAATTATTTAATGGCTATCAAATTTTCACTGGACGATCATTTGGAATTTTGACTTTAAAAACCTCACATTTTTTAGAACTAAATGAATTTATTTACATATCTGTTAAACTTATTAACTAAGGATTTGCAAATCTTAGGAAACTCGTAAAATTATTTTGGATTTGAATATATGTAAATTACAAAATACTTTTCCTGTTTAATTTTCAAAATAATCTTTTTATTTTAATCTATTTTACAAAAGAAAACAGAGAAGTTAGGGGGAAGAAGGACATAGACCTGAAAACATTTTCTTATTCATTTGTATTCATATTTTGTATATTACTTATTTAATACGTCCCACATATTATAAAGCAGTTATATCATTAGCTATCATATCTTCTTTAGAGATATTGATTGACAAATAACATGCCCTACAGAGTTGATGTGTAGTTTTGATTCTTTATGCTTACAGACCCATTATTCCGTCCATAATGAAAATTTTTAAGCATAGATAAAACATCTGTAAGTGGACATGTATCTTTCAAAACAGGGACAGAATATGGTTTAAAACTACCAAAAGGTCCATGGGCTACATTGCTCAACTAAGCACTTCGGCTAGGACAAAGCAGAAATCAGTTCAGAATTCAAAGTTTTAATATAAATGTGGTTCCTTGGGAATGGGGAGGGAGATGTGATTTTAACAAACTGGAATCTACAATACCTAAGTATCATTTGAATTATAACGACACTTAATGGTTTGCTGTTCATAGGTAGCAAATTTTTATTGTTATTTTACTTATCACAAGATGAAACACTTCCTATAAGCTTGGCCTTGCTGTTCGAAGGAAGCACCTTTTTTTGTTATATCCTTTATCACAAGATTAAACACTTCCTCTAAGCTTTGTTTAATGGTGGCTTAGAGGTCCTTAATGACGACTTAATGGTTATCTTTAAGTCACCATTAAGCACCTTTAAGCTATGTTTAAGTAATAAATACACCACAATTAAGTTACCATCATGGCATCTTAAAGTCCTTAAAGGGTTCTTTAAAGTAGCTTAATTTTAGTTTATAGCTGCTTAATGGTAGGTTCTAGACAATCATTAAATCTTCATTAAGCCATAATTAATCCAGACTAATAGGTGCTTAATGTTCAAACACTAAGCTACCATTAAACCACTATTACATCATCATTACTCAGTCGATAAAACTGCTTGAATGGGTAAAATATTATCTTTATAATAATTTATGGGGTCAAAGGCTGGTAAAGGTCTCGAGGGATGCAACTGATGTCACTAAGTTACACTACCAAAACCTCGAGTTAATGCCTACCGTCTCAAATAGGTTCTGCCAGCTAGTCACATGTCACACCTCCTCGTGGTGACCCTGGAAATGCCTTCAGTAGCTGAGTGACAGTGGCAAAAGGCGAGTCTCCAGCGCCTTTAAATAACTGGAACCCGTGACTAGGGGAAGCAAAACCCCAACAGAAAACCACCAGTCCTCCGGGTCCAGGGTGTTTTGCATAGGGTTAGCAGTCCTATCATGTAAAAACTCTCAACGCTACAGAAACCAGAGCAACAGAAGAAGAAATCCAACGCTTGACTCAGGGAGAAGCCTCACCTAGAGGTCGTAAGACGCAGACTGGTGAAAGCCGTATGGAAACCAGTCAGCCGAAAGTTCTCCTTACGATGAAAGCAGCAACAAGAATAGGAACCTGGAATGTGCGAACCATGTTTGAAACAGGGAAGGCAGCCCAGGTAGCCAGAGAGATGAGGAGATACAACATCCAACTACTTGGAATATAAGAGAGCAGATGGAATGGAACTGGCATGTCTTCATTGACTAGCGGAGAAAAGATCATATACTCTGGACATGCAGATGAAAACCATGAACACACTGAAGGAGTTGCCATCATGATGTCACCAGCTACTGCCAAGGCACTGATTGAATGGGAACCAATCTCAGCAAGGATTATGACAGCAAGATTCCACTCCAAAGGAAGAGAAGTAACTGTAATCCAATGTTACTCACCAACAAACACTGCAGATGAAGAAACAAAAGAAGATTTTTACACAAAACTGCAGGCAGCAGTGGACAAGGCACCAAGGCGAGACATGAAAATCTTGATGGGTGACATGAATGC